AGGTTAGAATTTCATAAAACACAAAGATTAAATGCACCATTGCGCCATTGCAAACGGTTTTGATCCATGTTACTCAGGATATCCAACCATCGATTACTAGCATCTCGCGGACCCCAATCAGTAGACGACACCTACCGATATGACTCAGTCCACTTGTCAATGATTTCATGGATTTCTGCCATCTTTCGGTCTGGCCGCCCCTAGGTTTGTTCCAAGGTATTCCTCCATCGCAAAACATAGCTCAACGAGGCAGTCGGTGGTTAGGCATACTTCACACATGTCCCAACTACCTCAAATGATGAAGTTTCATTTGTTCATCTATCAACCTGCCATCGTTGCCTATCACCAGTTTCCTAACAACAGCATTGCTTAATCGGTTATCCCATGATACACAAGCAATGTTTCGGAGACACCTATAATCGAAAAACAGTAATCTACGAATATCTTGTACTCTCACTGGCCATGTCTCACAGCCTTAAAGTACGATGGAGCGAACTATTTCGCAGTATACTCGTTCTTCAGTCAGCGAACGGATATTTCGCCTAAGCCATAAATGACGCAAGTTGGTAAACGCCAATCAGGCTTTCTGCATCCGTGCTGAGATTTCGTCACACACCAGGCCGTCAGCACTGATGAAACGTCCGAGATAATTGAAGCAGTCAACACGCACAACTACTTTACTCCCCTATCACTAGTTCAGGTGCCGATGCAACCCAATCCTGAAGCAAAATTTTCCATTTCGACGGGGAGAACCGCATCCCGAATATGCTTGCATTGTTGCTCAGGGTAGTCAGAAGACTCTTCACCAAATAGAACTATGTCATCGGCATATTGTAAGTCAATAAGCGAGCCTCCTGGTGCCTGTAATTGTGGTGGGATTTTTATCAATAAAAACTTGTGCTTAGACAGCATCATCGACTTGAGTCAAGGAACAACATTACAAGCATCTTACATTTAACTTTTGCACCCTATGATTGATTGATTATATAACATAACATTTCGATATCAATTTTAAACGCATTCATCAACTGGAGTTTTTCTCTTGGAATTACTGCCGAATAAATAAGGAGGACGGTTGGGAATGAAGCTTGTGATCCCATCCTGTAGCAAAAAACCAACTTACTACGAAAAAACACCGCTATAATCAGAAAATATTATCCCACATATATTTGAATCTCATCCTCAATATTGATTGACTTATCATCCTCTAATAAGTAGTATATATACATACACAAACACACAATTCGATTAGTATGAAAGCATTTTTTTGCTCTTCATTAATTCATCAAGTTTCTATTGTTTTACTTTATTTTATTGTATAGTATAGTAGTTCACTTAAGGTCATATCAATCAGATTCGAACTACCATACCGTGTTACCGTGTTACACTCACTCACTCACACACACACTCACACACACACTTACGCATTCACATTGAGGTGAATTCGACACTGCAGAACAATGAAACACAGTACAATAATAATAAAAGGGAGAAACATGAAAAAATAAAAACTGTGAGCAAATATGAAACATTGAACTGTACAATTTTTCATATTCATATATATATTGAACATATGGTAATGTAGAACAGTTTTTTTAAGGATAACAAGCAATTTACCTTAATTTGTAAAGGAAAAAACATATGTATATATATATGAATATCCTCATTTTTGTTTAGGTCAATCAATTTCAATCATACATACTAAGCTGTTGAGGAGATCACCCATCTGTGTCACAATGTGGTGCGCGCTACTTATAAGTAGTATATGACGTAAGTGTAAACGTAATGTCTGGCAGCAGAAGATGCGGGGGAATATCAAGAAAGGAAGAAGAGTGGGAACACAATGGAATTTGTATGAAACGCATGAACAGAGTGAAATGTCAGAAAAATGGATTGATGATGAATTGAAGATTTGCAGATTAACCGTTTACGATATGGTTTTCCTATTTTACTGAGTAACTCTGTAATTTTCGTTAAATACAATTCGGTTGCCCTCACCTGTGTTCTCCTTCATTACATTTGGTGTCACTGCCAGGATGAAGGAAGGAGCTGCCATGGCCGAAGGAGTTTGAGGACGGAGATTTGCGGAGCTTCCTGAGGGAGTTTGAGGCCGTTGTGGGGCTGGTGGGTGTGAAGGGTCTCGGGGCGGAGTTCGTGGTGCTGGGGACGCTGCGGGGAGGTGAGACGAGGGCGGTATACGACAGCCTGGACGGTGCCGCCGAGAAGACGGCGTGGGAGACGGTCACCAGGCGGCTGATGACGGAGTTCGACAGCCCAGTGTACAGGGAGAAGGCGCTGCAGCAGTTCCGGTTGGCGAGGCTGTCGGCTGATGGTGACCCGCTGGTGCTTGCTGTGGAGAGCTTACCACATTGTTGCGCCGTGCTCTGCCGAATATCGATGAGGAGTCGGAGGCACAATTGTTGGCGTCGCAATTTATCGAGAGTGTGCCTGCCGCCGTGTCTCAGCAGCGGGAACTAGTAAACTCTACACGTTGGATAGATGCCGTACCCATTCCAGACCAGCGGGCAAAAACAATGGCCGAAGTGGTAATCCGGCATATTGTAGCTTGTCATGGAATACGAAGATGATAATTACTGACCAGGTTCCCTGTTTTGAAAGTGACGAGTTTAACGCCCGTCTAAAGCAGTTTGGCGTCAAGAGGATACAAACTACACCGTATCATCCGCAGATAAACGGGCTTACGGAGAGAAGACAAGCAGAAGCGCGTAAATGCTAGATGCTTTCAAGATTATCAAGTGTATGAGTCACGAAAAGCAACGGCACGGCAATCAGAAAGACTACGACGACAGCTTATTAAAAGGGGGAACGAGTGTGGTGCGCGCTATTTATAAGTAGTATATGACGTGAGTGTCAACGTAATGTCTGGCAGCAGAAGATGGGGGAAAATCAAGAAAGTTAGAAGAGTGGGAACACAATGGAATGTGTATGAAACGCATGAATATGCGAAATGTCAGACAATGGATTGCCCTCACCTGTGTTCTCCTTCACTACAATAAGAGTTATTTTTGGTTGTGGTGGGTACACTACTTACTACGTAGCTTGTAAGTAGTATACAGAATAAAAGTTGAAAAATGTCAACATATTTTATTCTAAGTGAATTGCATTTTTGTTTACGATTCAATTCTTTTAGAATGACAATCAATTTCTCATGTGAATAGGGGTTCAGTGGCTGAGTTGAATTCAAAGTAGGGGGGCTCATCAGTTTCGTTGCTCTCGATCTGACTAACAGTTATAGTATGAAATTAATCTTCCTTTGTTCGACGGCAGTAATATATAAGAAGAAGCTAAATACAGATTCAGCTGAACGAGTTTATATTTCATGCAATCTCGTTCATGCAGACAGAGATGAGAATAAAAAGTGTACAGGTGAAGGTAAAGTGAAGTGGAGTGGAGAAGGCGAATGAGCCAACTCAAAGTCAGACATGTGATAAGCGATGTCAGCATGAACACATACACACCAAGATATGAGCGAATAATTCACAAGGTCGAAAGACATGTGGATAATAACTCGAGTAGAATGGATTAATGTATTTGTTCAAAGGCTGGAATAAGCAAGCCATGTAAGCTCAACATATTTGTACACACTATACAGGGTGATGGAATTACCGCCTCTGTACAAACTCACACAGAGTTAAAGAAGATGGCATTCAAAACGCATTCAATATATGTCATTTTTGACTATTGGCTCATTTATTCAAAGTAGATAATTTTGGCGAAATTATAATTTATCGCCAATGTTTTGAGAGTCTTTAACAACCTTGAGAAAATTTACCTCGTCATTAGCGCCAGAAAAAAAGAGATGTAATCGATTCATGTAAAGAAACCTTTTCGGGGTCAGATTAAGGTTTGATTTTTTCTTGTCATAACCTTGATGAAATCAGCCATATCATGTCAACATGTTAGTTTTTTGGTCATAGATGTGAATGAATCAATTTCGCGCTAAAATTATCTTAAATTTCATTGGTTCATTCATCAAAAATATTATTAGACTTGTCAAGGTTTCATGTCAAACACATCAACGTTAAGTAAAATTTCTGGTAGTAGCTTTTTTCTTTCGCCATTCGGTTATAATTGATTATGATAAATGAGATTTTGACAATTAAAATGAAATGTAAGAACTTTTTTTAAACAAACCAGTACATATGAATGAATATTATCAGTTCTTGTCCGTTTAAATAGGAGAGGGAGAAGACAATATTTGATAACTAGAAAGCACCTGTTGGGATATTCATTCAATATCCCAAGAGAATTATTGGTCAATTCCTATTGGTCGTCCTAACTATCAATGTCACATACTTTAAATGTTGTTTCCTATTCGACCTAAATGTATAGATACACATTATCTGTAACGTTTTATGACCCGGACCCAGATCCCTAGTCCGGGATCCTTATTTCCTTCTGGACTCAGACCTCGTACATTCTGAATGTTTGTAGAATACAAGTTCTACTTCATACCAAGTCTTCCTATTTTCACTCAATAGGGGTTGGGAAATTCGGATTAGAGTAGCATGTTGTGTCACCGTATCCTCGATCCTCACTCTCGTTTTTCGACTAAGGTAAACTTGTAATAGTTCAAGCGAATCAAAACGACATATTTACATTTTTTGCACAACAGATATATATTAAAATGTGTATGCTATGATTAAGAGCCAATCAAAAATGGTTTAAAAGACAAAGGCATATCATTGGTTAAAAAATGAACTCATTTTCTAAGCGGAAAGAAAGTATATTCAGTAGCCCACTAGATTTCCTCTACCACTCTTGTCATAAAAGTTAGTTTTCGGCTGTGAACAAGCATCACATTCAAAATGTTAGATATCGTCCATCAAACGAGTATCTTTAATAGCATCCATGAACATATTACACCCATACACATATATATATATATATATATATATATATATATATATATATAGAGAGAGAGAGAGAGAGAGAGAGAAATCTATGCAAATATCCTACATACTACTTTAATTACTTACTTTAAGTAAATTCAAATCATCCTCTGTAATTGTATCTGGTTTTAATTCAGCTAATAAATCATTCAGTACATTAATGTTGGTTTCAATAATTGTTAAATCTTCAGTTAATTTAATACGTTGTACACTATTCAAATGACGTACAATCCCGTTTTCATCAAATTCCATTTGATCATCTTTGATTTGATGATGATGATGTTGATTGGTTGATTGAAATGGATGATTCGTTGATGAGGAGGAGCAGGAGCAGGATGGTAAACAATGATGTGGTTGACAAATAACAGACGATGGTTGATTATCTACAAATTAAAAATCATCATAGTTGTATAGTGATGAGCCAATCAGAAGTGAACAAATAAGAAGGCCATTAGAAATGACCTAGAGGATGGAGGTATATTATTGGTCAAGAAATGGATTCATTTTCTAAGGGAACAAAATGGATGTAAATATATATTCATTAAAATGAAAGAAGGCGTAAAATACGATCAACTCGTGTCCACATCAGCCACAGGCATCATTCTTCGAATCCTTAACAAATTGAAAAGAACCGGCTCAAAGACGGAAAGACAGACAGATACAACGTAGAACTTCGTACGTAAGTACATCAGTTCAGGTTGCAATACCACAACAGCACAGAGACGCAACTGTCAGTTCAAATCCAACAGTGATAGCGATAATAGAAGTATTAGCAGTAATGGAGAAGATTAGGGAGCGAAGATACGATTCGAGAAGTATAATTCAGCAAGACTAATTTAGAGGGAGAAAGATAGAGAACATGAGGAATTCAGAAGGTTAGAATTAAAGAGCACACAAACAGTGGATGCACCTGCGACATTGCAAACGATTTTGAGCCATGTCATACAAGGTATATAACCATTGGTGAATTTCGTCTCGCGGACCCCAACCAGGTAGCCTACATCGACCATCATGACTCAGTCAACTTGTCAGTGACTTCATGGATTTCTGCCATGTTTCGGTCTGGCCGCCCCTAACTTTCCTCCAGCCAGTCGGTGGTTGAGCATTAGTAACACATGTCCCACTACTTCATCTATTGATTTGCCATCCATACCTAGAACTCCTTTCCTAACGACAGCATTGCTTATACGGTTGTCTCAGGATACATGAGCAATGCTTTGAATGATCCCATTGTTGACGTTTCAACTGATGTTTGATCAATCTTGTTTGCTATATTATGAGCATTCTATGGAAATTGCCTCCCCCCTAATGAAGCTCTTATAACACAAAGTTCACAGAGAATGAACAAAATGTGATTGACAGTGAAATTAATATTCCATCTGTTCTACGCAAACCTTGTATTATCATAGATTTATTGAGGTAATCTGCATAGAATGCTCGTGTGCCAATCAAGACTAATCATACATCAGTCGAAATATTAACAATGGGATGATTCAGACCATTTCCTAAATTGAAATTAAATGTCTTACGTGTTTGAAAAAGTAAGTGATTGTCTAAACTCGGTATTTAAGTAAATAAAGAGATGTTATTTGAAGTAAACAGTACTGGTTTAAATTCCTAGAGCAAATATCGTCAACTCCGACCATAGCTGCTACTTTGACATGGTGGTCGGGCTTGTCTATCGTGATGACCCAACCGAGCTGTATTAGCTGGAACATATGTTCCTGTAGGTCCTACCGTGTCAGGCGAGTCGACAGGAGAACGATGACACTAAAAGCAGCAACTCAAGGTCTGTAGAGGGGTGTGATAGCAGCAAAGCGCTTCCTTCGGTCAACCAGAGTCTGCAGTGGCGCTGATTTCTCACAACGGAAGGAAGAGGTTAGAAAAGATTAACCTCAAAAATTTCAAACCTCACCTTACCTCAAGGATATCTGTCTCCGGAGGTTAGGCATTTTGAAGAATGGAGCAAACACATGAAAAATTTTCCAGGTCACTAAGACCGACACTAATCCAAATTCCTCCCATGGTATGGATGGCCGAGAAATGGCATCCACCCTCATACCCAACCCCAACAATATACAAGACTGACTAAACATCAACTCTCAAATACATTCAGATGACCAGTCATAAAATAAGAGGAAGTCTGCCATACTACATTTCTATGCACATTCTACATTCTCTATGTACAAATAAGTTGGATGCAATTTTTTCCAACAAACTCATATTCAATTTGAAAATATAGACAGTAACTACCAAAGACAAATGGGTGTGGTCATGCAAAATCCCTAGATTAATCAGATTTAGACATTAACACCGTTAGATGACATCCACCTCAGTGGTCCAACGGTTAGGCGTTCGCGCACAATACCGAAGGTCCCCGGGGTTCGAACCCTAGCGAGGTGCAGAAGTCGCGGACGCGCACTGCCACTGATGAGTCAGTCCCATACCAGGACAAAACGGCCATCTTTCAGTGCTTCCTGGTTTCTAATGGTGTTGATCTAACAACAATGATTGATTGATTGATGATTTCAAATGTGTAAAAGCACTAATCTCCATAACTGTAATTGAAAAAATCATGAAATATATGCATGATCCATAGGACTATTATTCTAGAGAGAAAAAAAACACCGTTTTTTCTCAAAATGCTATTCGATAATTATTTCTAGTACGAGACAGAGAGAGATAGAAGGAGCAAATCAAGTATTTACACCTCTAATCACATTAAATGGAAAATGGATGGTGGCTGTGACATGTGTTGCGTATGCCAGACCACTGACTGCCTCGACAAGCTATGTTTTGTTGTGTAGGAGTAGGTTGGAAGAAAGCGAGGGGCGGCCAAACTAAAACATGGCACAATTCCATCAGTTCACTGACAACTGGACTGAGTGATGTTGGTAGATGTAGTCTACGTGGTTGGGGTCCGCGAGACGAAAGTCACTGATGGTTAGAGACCTTAAATGATATGGCTCAAAGTCGTTCGCAATGGTGAAGGTGCATCCACTCTTTGTGTTCTCTCAAATCCTAATCTTCTGGATCCGTCAACTCCTCTACCTTTGTCTTTTTAAACGTATGTCACTGAATTATACTTCTCGAATCATATCTTCGCCCCCTAATCTTCTCCATTACTGATAATACTTCTATTATCGCTATCACTCTTGTATTTGAGAACTGACAGTTACGTCTCTGTGCTGATGTGGTATGGGGCAACCTGAACTGATCTACGAAGTCCTGCGTTGTATCTCTCTCTGTCTGTCTGTCTTTGAGTTGGTTCTTTTCGATTTGTTAGGAGGATTTGAAGAATGATCCCTCTGGCGGATGTGGACACAAGTTGATTATTGTATATATAAATATACATACATTTCGTTCCCTTAGAAAATCATTCCGTCTCTTGACCAATAGCATACATCCATCCTCTAGAGAGATAGAGAGAGCAAATCAAGTATTTACACCTCTAATCATATTAAATGGAAAATGCATTAACCAGTCATTCAAACAAAAAAACGCGATATCAACAGGAATGAAAATGGCAAAAAAAGTCAAACGAAACCAAAAAATAATAAATAACTTTTATGCAAATTATGCGCACACACAATAAAAAAAGAAAAAATTAGGCAAATCATTCAAACAATCAATAATGAATTTGATTCATTCAATTGATGAACATTGTTCAATTGAATTTTGACAATCAATGTTCAATGACTAGGGGATGACGTTGTTGAAGAAAAAAGAATAAGACAACTTTTAAAAAAAAGAGTGATACTACTATTCAACAATGGAATGGAATAAAATAAAATAGAGTTTGATGAAAAATTCGACGCCGAAAATATTAATTTATGTTACTCAAAATAATCACAAATGAATGAAATTCAAAATTAATTAAAATAATTTGTTCAATAATTCTAACATCAATCAATCATTGTTATTACTGCCTACACCCGACAGGATTGAACTCCATTGGTCACGTCTTCTCATTACTAGAACTCTGAGAATTTCCTCACAAAGAAGCTAGTTATCACTAGTGAGCACTGTTACGATATTTTCGGGCAGAGATTTTGGAGGTTTTGTGTCTTTTTTGCACATTCGAACTACCAAAGACAGATTGGTGAGGTAGCGCGAAATCCCTAGATCAATCAACACCGTTTAATGCCAGCCCAGTGTTCCGATGGTTAGGCGTTCGCGCAAAATACCGAAGGTCCCGGGTTCAAATCCTGCGAGGTGCAGGAGTCGTGGATGCGTGCTGGTATGGGAGTCATCCGTCCAGTGCTTCCAGATTTCTAAAGGTGGTCTAACAACCATTGATTGAGGATTTCAAATGTGTAAAAACACAAAACCTCCAAAACTCTGCCCAATAATTCTAAGTTGCAGCACAATTCAGGGAAAATCAAACTGATCAAAGAATGCATAGATATACGTCACGTGTAATAAATCGTAAAGCAGTCAGTCAGTCAATTACAACGTAGTACTTCGTAGGTATGTACATAAGTTCAGGTTGCCATACCACATTAACACAGAGACGCAACTGTCAGTTCAAATCCCATGGTGGTGGAGATAGTAGAAGAATTAGCGTTAATCGGAGAAGACTGGGGTTGGAAGATAAGATTTAAGAAGTATAATTCAGTGAGATAAGGTTAGAAAGACAAAGGTAGAGGTGTTGACGAATCCAGAAGATTCAGATTTGAGATAACACAAAGAGTGGATGCACCTGCGCCATTGCAAACGATTCTGAGCCATGTCATTCAAGGTCTCCAAGCATTGATAAATTTCGTCTCGCGGACACCAACCAAGTAGCCTACATCTACCAACATGACTCAGTCAACTTGTCAGTGAATTCATGGATTTCTGCCATGTTTCGGTTTGGCCGCCCCTTAATTTCTTCCAAACTAATCCTACACCACAAAACATAGCTCGTCGAGTCAGTCGTTGGTTAGGCATACGTAACACATGTCCCAACCACTTCAACTGATGAAGTTTCAAAACTTCATTTATTAATCTGCCATCCTTACCAAATACTCGTCTCTTAATGGAAGTATTGCTTACTCGGGTGAAAAAAAAATTTATGGAGATTGTATTATTTACCACATTGCAGAAAGCATCCAACTGCATCATAAGACAAGCTCTCACTTGCAACCCTCAAGGAGAACGGAAAAGAGAAAGGCCAAGGAACATATTACACCGAGAAATGGAGACAAAAATGAGAAGAATGACCAAAAATAGGATGGAACTGAGAAGGGAAGCCCGGGGCTGAGTAGGTTGAAGAATACTGGTCGGCGGACTATGCTATATTAGGGGAGTAACAGGCGTATATTCACACATGGAATCGCAAACTAGTCTAAGCTACACCATTGTTAGGAACGTAGAAGCACTGGACAGCGGTTTCGTCCTA